ATATATATATATAATAATCTCAGAAAATTTTAAGTTGTAAAAAAATGAAATGCATGAAAATCAACTTCCTAGACATTAGTGAGTTGAGATGGGCTAGTATTAGCCATTTTGAATCAGACAATCACATGAACTATTGTGCCAGGAATGACAAATTAAAGAGCAATGGTATCATATACATCATCCACAAGAGCACTTCAAGATCTATAGTGACGTACAACACTAACTGTGACAGCAAATTATCCATACACATATAAGGAAGACCTGCTAATAAAATTATTACTCAAATACATACACCAACCACTAAAGCCAAAGATGGAAAAAAGTTGAGGATTTCTATCAATTTGTTCAGTCTGAAATTGATTGACTATGTAATGAAGATACATTGGTAATAATTGGTGACTAGAATACAAAAGTTGGAAACAAAGAAGAAGGAATAGTATTTGGAAAATATGACCTTGGTGAAAGAAACAAGGTTGGAGATCAAATGATAGAATTTTATACAATCAATGATCTACTAATTGAAAATATGTTTTATACTAATAAATGGCAACTATACACATGAACCTTACTTGATGGACTACTCAATCAGATTGACTACATCTATGGAAAGAGATGTTAAAAAAGCTCAATCTCAGCAATCAAAACAAGGCCAGGGGCTTAATGTAGAAAAGACTCGTATACACGTTCAAATTGAAGCTCATGAAAATTAAGACAAGTTCATGAGAACAAAAATACAACCTTAAGTCTACCCAAAATGAATTTAAAAACTATCCCAAGAATATATTTGAGTGACTGAACCCTAATAACTAAAGACTAGATGAGTCTGGGTCAACACTGAGAGCATTATTCATGAGGAATACAGGTCATTACAATGAAAAGAAAGAAAGAAATCAAAACAGATGTCGAAGAGACTTTAATACAAGCACTGAATTTAAAAGATACCTGAACAAGGGTAAGGAATGAAGAAATCAGCTGAATATGAGATTTAAAAGAGCAGTTTGGTAAGACAAAACATAGCATTATAATACAATGTGCAAAGAACTAGAGTGAGGAAATACAAAGAGTAGACCATGGTTGGCATTTCTGAAGCTGAAATAACTAAAGGACAATTTCAAGCCTTGAGTTACAATACTGAAAAATTCTATGGAGAAAATAATAACACAGAAAGCATCAAAAGAAAATGGAACGAATACAGTGAATCATTGTACCAAAAAGAAATGGTAAACACTGAAATGTTTTAGCAAGCATCATATGACCAAGAAATAATTAGAGTACTGTAGGACTAAATCCAAGTTGCACTAGAATCATTGTAAAGAAATATGGCCTGAGAAATTGATTCATATCTACCAGCTGTTCTACAAGAGAAAGATGGGCAATCAACTCTTATGTGGTTTACTGCCTACAGAAACCCCCTGGAGGGTCAGCTATGAGTCAGTTCTGACTCAACGGCACACAAGAAGTGATGGTACACCAATTTAGATGTTTCAGAAAACAGATGCAGCCATGTATATGCTCACTAGTCTAAGCCAGGAAATTTGGAGGATAACTACCTGGACAACCAACTGTAAGAAATCCACATTTGTTCCTATATCCCCAAAAAGATGATACAGTGGAATGTAGAAATTATCAAACAATATAATTAATATCAATATAGAAGCAAAATCTTGTTCAAAATTATCTAAAAATGGCTGGAACATTACATTGTCAAAGAATTTCCAGAAATTCAAACTGAATTCAGAAGAGGCCATAGTGCAAGGGGTAAAACTGCTGATGGCATATGAATTTTGGCTAAAGATATAGAGATATTTACTTATATTTTACTGCTACACAATGTCATTTGACTATATTAATCATAAGAAAGTATGGATAACGTTGAGAATAATGGAAATCCCTGAAAACTTACTTGTGCTTATGAGAAATCTACATCGAGACCAAGAAACTATGGTCTGAACATAACAAGGAAATGTTGCATGGTTTAAAATCAGGAAAAGTGTGGCTCTGGATTATATCCTTTCTCCACACCTATTCAATCTGTGCAATGCACAATTAATTCCAGAAGTTGGGTTATATGAAGAAGAATGTTACATTAGGATTGGGGGAAGGCATTCATTAACAGCTTGTGTTATGGAGATGACATAGTCTTGCTTGCAGAAAGTGAAGAGGACATGAAACAGTGGCTGCAGAAGTTCAAAGACTTCAATACAGATTACAATCTATCTTGGATTAAAATATGGATTACACCTCAACATGAAGGAAACAAAAATCCTCACCACTGAATCACCATATAAGGAGAAAAGACGGAGGCGTTAATGATTTAGGTTTGTTTGTTTGTTTGTTTTTTAACTTGGATCCACAATCAACATCTATGGTAGCAGCAGTCAAGAAATCAAAAGGGGTTTTGCATTGAGGAAATGTATGTCAAAGATCTCTCCAAAATGTTAAAGAGCTTGGATGTCATTTTAAAGGCTAAGGTGCACCTGGTGCAAACCACAGTATTTTCAATTTCTTCTATGCATCTGAAAGTTGGACAATGACTAAAGAAGAGCAAAGAAGAACCAGAGTCTTTGAATTGTTGTGCTGCAGAAGAGTATTGACTGTTCTGTGCACTGTCAGAAGAACAAACTGCTCTGCCTTGGAGAAAGTGGCAAGGATGATAAAATATTGTCTCACGGCTTTGATCTTGCTGTCTAGAGGGACTGGTCCTTGGAAAAAGACATCATACTAGAAAAAGTCATTGAAAGAGAAGATCTTCAAGAAGGTGGATGGAGATAGTGATGATGGAGCAACAAAAGGCAAGCTTCAGATTGTTTGTTCATAGGGTTGCTACAAATTGAAGTCGACTAGACTGTATTTAATGCCAACAATATCCAATGAACAGTTATGATAAAACAGTTGCTCTGTTAATGAAACTGTAATGGTGATTTTCTGGGA